AATTAGGAAGTCAGTTTAGTTCAGGAGTCCAGTTGGCCAACGTTAGGTAACGTTGGGTCATGTTAGGTCATGTTAGCTGATGTCGGTGCTGCTTTAATCAGACAGGCAACAGGATGGTGCCAATCACGTGTCATAGGGGTGACCCCATGACAGATGGGCAGTCAAAACGTTTGCGCAAACCGCCACAATGGCTTAAAGATTATGAAACTTAGTCAATAGGCTCATATAAATCACTTATAATACTATATATAATTTTATATTGATTGAACCATTATTGCATATGCTATTAATTAATATAGTGCCTGGGTGCTGGTGGTGGATGGCGCGTGCATACCTAGGCCCGTGCACACGGGGGTCATGACTTCTACTTGATATCAGATTTTGTTGTAGTAGGATAATAATATTTATAGTGCCTTAGGCAAATCAGGCTATAATCATATCTGGATTGCAGTGCAACACTATGATTATCCTGATATCATATATTATAAATAAAACTTACTCTGATGCCATCGCCAAACTCTCTGAGGACTTGCATAAGTCTAGGTAATAAGATTATGAGCTTTTCTAATAGGTCCTGCTCGGCGCCAGTAAGTTAACTGATCCTGAAGATCCATCATCTCAGAATCCTGCGCAAAAAGTCTCTTATCAAAGCTATATAAGAGACTTCTTGTAATTAGATTTAGGATATGACCTGCATATTGAAGGCGCCGTTCAACAGCATCTAAGCCAAAGTAAGAAGCTATTGACTCGACTGCAGTGTCGTTATTGCTTGCGTTGTTAACTATAAACCAGCTAAGATGATCTCCTTGAATTTTGAAGTCTTTAATGACTTTAATCACCTTTGCAGCCATATCTACACCAGAATGTGACTCAGTTTGTTCAGGTACAGCAAGAAGGATTGCTTGAGGCTTATATGACGCATCCAGATAATGCGCAATAATGCCGTTCATTGAACGATGGTTATTCGATGACCAAAGGTTGAAGGCAATATGGATCCGACTGGTAGCCTGATGTAAGTGCTCCACCACCTTCATCTTGTGAAGCTTGTACGCATTGTTAATCCAGCTGATCAATGTGGTGTGATGAGGTACCAACGCTCGATTGTTCAGATACCTGATCAGGTCTCGAAAAGCCTCATTATCCACCTGCCTAAACGCGAGATTGGTATCGACAATCCACCTCACCACCAAGTTTCTGAAGTTATGATTATCAAATGACGTCGCTAAGTGATTCAAAACTGCCTGTTTTTGCACCGGATCTATATCAAGATCTGATAATGGTGTTGAACCTCGATTCTGCAATTGTACCCAACCACCATCCTCCTTTCTGAACTCCTCGTTATGCCGATTTCGAATATGTTTGGTAACGTTGCTTGTGCCATTCTTAATCGGCCAATGGTGCTTCTGCTTCACCTGTTTTTGGTGGCATTCTAAGCATAGCCAATAATGGTTATTGGTCTCGATTTCTTCGATAAGCACACCACGATCCCATATAGGTGAGTTCAACCGATTTACTGCTCTTCCGATTTGCTTAGTAAAACCAGGCAATCTTGTGAACTCCACCTTAGTATAATCAAATCGCTTCAGTACAAAGGTATCGAGGTCACCGGCGTGTGCTTTCAGGCTTATGTCCTCTGATTGAGTTGGTGGTGATGATACATCTGATATAACAATAGATGCGTCTGCAAGTGATGAGGTGGGACTTGATGGTGAGTGTAGTGGTGACTCAACCACTACTACCTCATTTTTAGGTCTTTCAGGATGACGTCTTGAGGCTCGATTACTTGCCATGGCGGTATACCACTGTTCATGATTGATGGTACTTAGCTTCAGGACGGGCTTATTATGAGCAAGAGCATAGCACAATGATGACATGATGAAATGCGGTGTGATAAGGCAAGTTTGGCATATATGATGAGAGGTGGCAGATATGCTCACAATTGGCCTAAGCATTAAGCCACCACTATATAATTGGATCATCCGGATGGATTATCCAAATCCACCGCCCAATTTGGATTGTGGCTTATTGGATAAATCCGAATGGATCTATCCAATTAGATCCACCCAATCAGCACACTGGGTCCCGGTTTGAGACTGTTCCAAATAGGGACCGCACCACGCTCTTTCACGACACCCTCCATCATCGGCTTAGGATTACCTGGTTCTGAATCTTTTGCTTCAACGACCGGCGCATTGATGATTACCGCGGTACAGACCGGTTCAGGTTTTGGGCTATGATCACTTCCCTCGGATGCCTGTCTCAATCATGATCAGCTCTCGTCCAACAGGATAGTGGAAGCAATTGAGAATAGTGATTAGCCAATTTAATTATATTTGATTTGCGAATCGATGAAGGTGTCACTAATTGGAAAGAGCTATATCAATAATAACAGTGAAGGGGTGATGAAGCTTTTTCCTCCTCAGCCACCAGTTGTCACGCGCATATAACCATACCATTTGATTCACCTAATAATTGCGATCTTTCGAATCTTATCCTGGAGCTGGAATACTAAATTTTAGATCGGGGGCTTAGAGTTGCTGTGGTTGTGTTGAATTTTGCGTGTGCTATAGTCTAGCTCCTTCGGACAATATTTTCCGTGCTCTGAGTTGGCATGTACTTGGTACCCCACTAAGACCACTTCGAAACCTTGTGCTTACAAAAGGAATAAGAGAATACAACCATATAAATATGTATATGCTTAATGCTATTTGATTATCAAACGTTCTGCTTATTGTAAATATTTAGACTGATAATCTAAAAGATATTTCGAATTGCAGTGCTTGTTTTTTCTAATTTATGCCCATATTCGTGGAGAGCAGTTCATTGATTATAAGGCTAGTATACTCTCTACATATAGAAGTATTTCCACGCAATTAGTAAAGGTCGCAGGGCATTACAATTTCTAAAGTTACCATTTTCTAATATTGAATCTAGTTAGAAAATTATTGCTATAGCAAATTTTGCGGTCTTTTCTCCGAATCTCCGAGCTCCGAGTTTCCGAATCTAAGTCCGACATCAACCGTGAGCCACCAACACAACAAACGAATAAAATATCCTGCTCCTGTAATGTGATTTTCAGCAACTCAAGGTAGTCCTAAATCCGAGCCTAAAAAAATAACTAAGCCTCTCGCTTCTGTGTTGCTATGCTTGGCAATCGTGATCATTTCTTAAATCCGGATAAGAGAAGTGAATTGCAAAGAGTATTAGCTCAAGATATTACTTGATTGTATTTATGGACTTCCATTATAGGGTTATTCCCAAATTCGATAAATTATTTTTACGAAGCTTAAGCTCAAATTTTATCCCTTTTCCTTCTAAGTAATGTCATCGGAATATGGGAAGGGGAAAAATGTCACTGCTAGTGACATAGAACACATAACACGAAGTAGATCCTTAAAATTATTTGTCTTCAGGAAACAATTATAAGAAAGCCCACGATGTGCTTTACTGCATAGAGCTCTCCCATTCAGACGCGAGGCTGGAATTATCGATCTATATTATGGATTGGCTGCTGGTTTACACAGATTAAGGCTAGGTCTATTTAAGTTGAGAAACATTAAAGCTCTGCACTGAAGCTTGGCTGCATTTCTCGGTGGTGGGGGCACACAACCCTTGTATTCCCAAGCAACATACTTAAAGAGCGCGCAGAGCTCATTCAACCCCATCAGTGTATTTGAACCATCTTCCAATTCATAGCATCCCACAGAAGCTTAACGATATATACAATGACAAACATCTTTGCTATCCCAGTATTTTTTATCTGCTTTAGAGAATGCTTAGAAACAAGTATCATTGTTTCTGTTCTTCTTTCCTTTATAAAACAAACTTTGGACCCAAGTCAGGATCCTATAACATATAAAAAGCTTTGTAAGCAGGTAAATAAATGATCACGTTACTATCCCTGTCAATATGTCCGCCCCTAATTTTATTTTTGGAGTTCTATTTGTGAATCCAATGGTCTTTTTATTACTACTCTATGTTCTTAATACCCCAGAATTTAAATCAATAACTAGTTATCCTCGACTATGATAACTAACAAGAAATAGGTCTGGCTAGGACTGTTTGGGGGTCTGGCCATCGTTTTAACTGTCTGCGCTGGAATGATTGGAGCTTTTTATGGGCTGGGTAAAAACATATTTGGGGCAACAGAGAAGATTTGGGAGGGAGTCTTCTCTCTAGTAGCATCTATAATCATCAGCTTAATGGGTGCTGCATTGCTTCGAGTTTCTAAGCTGCAGGACAAATGGAGAATAAAAATCGCAAAGGCGATAGAATCGAAGATCAAGACCAACGCCAGATTCACTCACAGAATCCGACATTCAACAGAGAAGTACTCCATGTTCTGGCTGCCCTTTATCACAGTTATGCGCGAGGGCATCGAGGCGGTGATTTTTATCGGTGGTGTAGGGTTAAGTTATCCTGCGAGTGCGTTTCCACTGCCAGTATTATGTGGAATCCTTGCAGGAACCGTTATTGGTTTTATGATTTACAAGGGGGGGAATACATTATCTCTTCAGATTTTTCTGATTATCTCAACTTGTTTCTTATACCTGGTCGCTGCAGGTTTATTCTCAAAAGCTATAGGGTTTTTCGAGGCTGAATTATGGAACAGACTGGTCGGACATGATGCCTCTGAGACTGGTTTCGGCCCTGGCTCCTATGATATCCATAAAAGTGTATGGCATGTAAATGTAAGTATTATTATCTCTCTATGTTATATCAGTCGCAGAACTAACAATTCTATAGTGCTGCAGCCCAGATGTCAATGGTGGAGGTGGGTGGGGAGTCTTTAACTCACTTTTTGGATGGACCAACTCTGCATCTTATGGGACTGTGATTGGATATAATTTATACTGGATAGCAGTGATTCTGGGATTCCAATACTTAGGTTATGTAGAGAAATATGGATGTAATCATGAATAATATGAAAGATATCATGATTAACTGATTGATTTTTGATTTAATTTGATGAGATTTTTAACCTGACTCATCCAGATTCGGATATGCATGCTATATACTTGTTAGAAATTGTTAGGAATCTATTCCCTATCCGTCAAGACTCACAAATGTAAGCCACTTTGGAAGGGGTGAGCTTTCTAGAGCAAGAGAGAAAAGTACTGATATTATTGTTAGGAATATCTTCCTGTTAGGAACACTTTCCCGATACCGACTAGCTTCACTAATGTAAGCCACTTCGGAAGGGTTTAGCTTCCTAGAGCAGAGGAACAATATATAATAAGAGCTTATTGTGGAAGGAATATAATAAGATAGTTATGTTTATGACTTAGAGTAGTCTGAGCTTTAAGAGTATGAGAATATATTCAAACTAACTACTAGCTGTTACGAGGTAACATGGTGATCACGTGAAGGGAGAGCGATCATGTTGATCATTCATGATCGAGGTGATCAGTCTGCATAAGCGAAAGGTTGTGATTCGCTCAGAAGGATTGAACGAATCAGGAATGCAGTTAGTGATCAGTCTGATCATTCATGATCAGAATGATCGCTGAGAATCAGGCAA